GTCTCCACTTGGTGCGTGTCCGTGGTTGTATTCCGTGCTGCATGCATGAAATGTCGGTAACAGGAGAGTGTTATTGATTTTTCGTAACGGGAGCGAGCGAGAAGGTTATACTTATACCTCTCGCTCGCTCCCGTTACGAAAAATCAATAACACTCTCCTATTACCGACATTTCATGCATGCAGCACGGAATACAACCACGGACACGCACCAAGTGGAGACTTTATCGGCAGTACTTGAAAATGGGTGTAGCGGAATAGTTCCAAAATTGGAAATGGGCGTAAAGCGCTGGAATCAGTCCAGCGAAAACGGTAACAGGCAAAACGCCGGGATGGCCGCTCTCAGGTTTCTCTCTGCTACAAGAAACGAGAGATGATCGATTATACAAATCTTAGCATCGAACAATCGATTAATCGAATCTAAAACCATCGAATAAATAATTAATTGACATTATAAACATCGATAAAAATAATCGATTATTTGTTAAAGAAACATCGAACTTCGATGCATCGAGGCAACATCGCCCATCTCTACAAGCAGCCATCTTCCCGACGACGACGCGCCCCTTGACGTAGGCCGTTTTGAGCGGCGTCGGAACTGATGAAAGGGCCTGTTCCTTCAGGGGCAAACGCATTCGTTTGCTCCCCCTTTTTCGGGAATATTCTGCGTGGATCGCGCGAGCGAGGTTATTCCTTGCGGGGTTTCCTAGTATCCTGGGCGCATCACTCGTGCGACTGACTGAAGCTTAAGGACACTGCGTATGGTTTGCAGATGTCCCATGATGCGGAACGTAAGTAACGGGTGAGGAAAAATTGACCTGTCTGCAGGAAAGATCGGCCTTTCTCTTGCGCGAATAAGGAAACGTCCTGGAGATAGGCATCACTACGTGACGCAATGGCAGAGACAACAGAAAAGATAGGTGAGCAAAGTTGGCTCGGGTCCCTTTTCAAGATGTAGGACAACGCTTTGAAATCATTCGCAAATTCTGTGAATGTGATAGACTAAATTTGCATTTGTAAATTAATCACAAAGCAAACAAAAATACTGAAAGAAATAACTTTATAGCGTGGCTTCTTATGTGCACTTTATATGTGTAAAGATTATGTCTATATACTCTTTATTTATATTATGCAATGTTTCAATTTCTAGTAATTAATGTCAAAAAATTGTGCATATTAGAACAGTTTGAGTAGACAGTAAATTAGTATCAATATTAATTGAGTAAGTTTTATGCGTTGAGTTTACAGATTAGCCTTCTCTTATAAATTATTCAACGAGTCTTCTTGCAGAGATCCTGAAGATTGAGGAGTATGCTGATGGTGTACTAATTGAAAACGGAGCCTCAGAGATTTTCTTTGGTAATTTAATCGTTCAGAAGCAAAATGTTTAATGCTACAATGACTTCAGTTAGTTAAAGCAATATGAATATCCTGTTTTTTTGCAGACGGGGATATTTCACAGAATGAACCCGTAGTGGTAGCCAGCAGACCAATTACGGACAACGAGAAGGGTAATTATAATTTGTAAATACGTATAATGTATAGAAATGTATACAAGTGAATCCCAACCAGTTGAGTTGACTATAAGTTTCCCGTCTCAATTTTTAATCATTACTGGTGACAATAAGCAAACTCTCCTTTCGTCTCTTGTACTATGTGTATGTGTATACACATGTGCGCGTGAGTACATAAAAGGTATATTCTACTTATCGCTTATAAGGCTGATGGCAGAGAACAATCCGTAAACGCTTAAGACTGTCTCAGTCGTAGACGTAGGGCAAGGCAGAGAGAAACAAGTCGTACACAATAGCCTTTCACGACTTACGTTTCTCTCTGCCTTGCCCTACGACTAAACCAGTCTTAAGCGTTTACTGATCGTTCTCTGCCATCAGCCTAAGAGTCTGAGCACAGAGCGACGTAATAGCCTACGGCAAGACGTAAGTCACGAACGCAGATAGCGCAAACCCTTTGGCTTATGTTGTACTTGCTTCCGATCACGTGCAAACGACGTTACATTTACGTCAAAGCCTGTGCGCTATCTGCGTTTATGACCTGCGTCTTGCCGTAGGCTATTGTGTTGCTTTGTGCTCTAACCCTACACTCACGAGCATTGTTCGTCCTCGTTCAACATTTGCTAAACAACAAGAGCGTTGAATAGTTGTTTAAATGAGAAAAGTTATGTTTTTATGATGCGCTGAAATTATGTATGCTCAGTTATTTAAATGAAATTATGCATGCATAGTTATTTAAATGAGAAAAGTTATATTTTATGATGGGCTGAAATTATGCATGCTCAGGTACTACAAACTGACAAGTAAAAATGTTCCTATAAATGACACTCTTTTTAAATTATAATATCTTAATAACATCAGTGACTTTTATTGACCGTATCTGGCAATTAAAATTCTTATTGCGAAAAATATTACCCCAGCCAGGATTCAAATTTTAATTGCCAGATACGGTCAATAAAAATCACTGATGTTATTAATTTATTAATTACTTCTGGCGACTTTAAGAATATTCTTACTAGTTTATAATTTCTTGTATAAATTTACAGTAGCATTGCCATTATGTGTTTCCCTGCTTCTCCGAATACTGCAATATACTCTTGCAGTATACTATTTTTACGAATAATGGATGTGAGAACTAAAAACATCGGAAAAATTTAAATTGAAATAAAAATTTGCGACATGTTTCAACTTACATTTGCGTTTGCAAGTTCACATAAGTTTAGTTTTAATGTTTTACTTTATTATTTTTTGTTTGGTTCGTCGCATTATCGTTTATTTTATTTTGTTAACAGACGATTTGGTTATTTCAATTATAACTGATTATCAATGTGTGACATGTCACCGTGTTTTCCAGTCGAAGGATGTAAGTTGTAATTTTCTTTTTTTTTTCTTTCTTGAACTTGTGTTTGATGTATTCACACTCCCGTGGTTTGCACTTCCATTAACAATTTCTGTTTTCTAATTCTGAAATAGATGCTGCAGAAGCATGTAGACATGTGCAGAGAGGAAGATGACTCGATTAATATCATCGGGCTTGATAATATGGTCAGTTACGATTCAGACGAAATGGATGATGAGGATGATGAGGATGATCCTTCAACAAGTTTAAGTGCTGAAGGTATGTAGCTATACATTGAACAGGACTTTCTGTTCGCTCTCACGTTACAAATGGTTTTACAGTCCGATTATGTTCCTAGATTCGGATTCTAAAAGCCAAAAGAACAATAATGAAAAACCTGTCATTAAACCTGTGCCTGAGACGCAGTGTCATTGCTGCGGAGAAGACTTAAAGACGGCACACAGTGGCGGGGAATATAAGTGTTCCATTTGCGATCTCAGTTTCAAGAAAAAGGCATCTCTGGACAGACACGTTATAGTCATACATTGGAAGTGTGATTCGTGTACATGCAACGAATGCGGCTCTTCTTTTCGCGACAAGAAAGCTTTGAATAAGCATCGCTATACGACACATGGAGATCGCAAAATTTTTAAGTATGTCTATATGCACATGCAATACTCTTTTTTATAAAATAGTTTCCTTAATTGTTGCTTGCTGTAATTAATTATACGGTATACGATACTATTATTGATTTAAGTAATTCTTATCTATATAAATAGATATGAAATATCTATCGCCATGAAGTGTTAACTTTACAAAAATTTTTCTCATTCTCCATTACTTTTCTTCATTAGTTACTCTATGATTTTTATTTTTATATTTCTACTTTTAGATTTTTTGCTGTACTACAAATTCACATATTTTTACATGTTCTTACTGCATATTTTATTTTCACATATTTTTACTAGGTGTGAGCCTTGCGATACTTACTTCTCCCGGAGTTACCACTTAAATCGTCACATAATGCAATCTGGTTGTCACGGTAACATACTTAATACGTTTAGCTGTCAAGTAAGTGTAGTTACTTGTCGACAATTCTTTAAAATATTAGCGACTTCGAAATTATAATGATCGAATGAACATATACAATGTTGTAGGTTTGCAAGAAAGATTTTACGCGTAAAGATAACTTGCGGGAACACTTGCGTACACATGCGGGAACGCCCCAGAGGCAAAAAAAGAAGTGTAAATATTGCTCGAAGGATTTCTTTACGAATCAACAGCTATTGGTACACGAACGCATGCACACAGGAGAGCGACCGGTCCAATGCGATTTATGCCCGAAGACATTCCTGTCACCGCTTGCACTGAAAAAGCATCGCCGTGTACATACCGGAGAGAAGCCGTTCGAGTGTAAATACGTAAGTAGCTTTTATCGAGTATACGCACCTATGAGTATTTACGCCTGAATATCAGGTGTATGTTAACATTGGGTGTTTCTCTCGAGTGATAATTAAATATAGAAATAATAACACTAACTTTTGCCGCGTGATTTTTTATTGCAAGCTAGCATTGTGGATGGACAAAACGTGACCGTAAGTTCGTAATCGTTCGTGAACTATGTATATTAAAGAAATATTTCTGAATACACAAATCACGCATTTCCGTTTTGTAAATACAATTAAATGTATTTCTTAACAAGAGCAGATTCAAGAGGGACGTGGACCCTCTCCCCATGAATATTAAGCATAACTCTAGGTAAAATGGAATTAAAAATAAAAATTAACACATTAACAGAAGAAATTTTTTAGCTTTGCGATAACTTAAAACTTGTCTGAAGTCTCGAATAGCCGAAGACAGGTTGACAAGACTCGTCCTATGAATGTTCATCTCCAACTGTTAACGTTCAAAGTAGAAGCAGTAATAAACCAATTTGCCAAAAAGAAAAAAAACAAAAAGTAGAATTTATTTTATAAATATTCAGACATTAAAAATAAACCAAATGTGTAAATGTGTTAATGATTTTTGTTTTCCAAGGCTTTGCGAGTTTATTTAAACGCATGCCAAATCTTAACCATAAATTTTACAAACTCAATTGGACTTTTAGTTTTGCGGCCCCTTCGAAAAAACTTTCTACACCCGCCCTTGCGCAAGTATTAATATTCCGAATTCGTGTTTACAGTGTCAAAGAAAATTTGCTGCTCGCGAAACATTAAATCGCCATCAACGGACGCATACGGGCGAGAAACCGCACGTATGCCAGTATTGTAACAAATCGTTCATACAGGCAGCACAATTAAGAGCACATGTATTCCATCACACAGGAGAGAACGGTTTCTATTGTGATGTATGCGGCAAGGCGTTTAATCGGAAAGCACGTTTGAATATCCACAAGAAATTCGTACATGAGGGAGCAATTCCATTCACATGCGAAGTGTGCGACAAGGGTTTTACGCGAAGAGAGGACTTGGTCAAACACAAACTGCTACACACTGGCGTTAAACGTAAGCAATATTTACAAAAGAAAATTAAACGTGAATATAATAATTTAAAAATAAGTTTGTATTATTTTATTTCTTATCTATGGATTTCTGTTTGGATTGCGTTTCAGCATTCAAATGCGACAAATGCTCGAAAGCCTTCTCGGCGAAATCGTCGTTGCAGGCTCACCTCAACACCCACAGACGCGAACCACCTCAGTCGTGCGTCGAATGCAACCGAGTGTTCATTCGGCAAGATTGCTTAATGCGGCACATTCGTGCAAAGCATCGGGAATTGTTGGAGGACGTAATGAATGAGGTCGAGAAGAAGCATTTGCAAACACAGTTGTACAACATTGCATCAATTGCTGCCGCCAAAACGGAAACCGGCGAATCTAGAGAACTTTCTACTGACGAGTTGTTGACGGCCATCCTCGATCTCTTGAGGATACTTATCGATGAGGAAACGTTGCAGGTATAGTTTATTTAGTTCAATTTAACGTTTTATTATATCGCCTTTTATGTTAAAATAAATTAGTTACACTGATGTATAACTAATGATCTAATTCGAATGTTGGCAGTTGTTTGGTTCGCCAGAAACTCCGATACAAGATATCCTTGAAGCTGTGATCAGAAGATGCGGATACGAGCCGATAACATCGGAAGCTAACGTAATGCTCGCCGATAGGTTACGACAAAACATCAAGATTCTGTTCACCGTTGTCATCGACACAATGAATGATGAAACAGCGAAGTCTCTCTTGACAACAAAAACAGTGGACGATGTCATTCTTCATGTTTTGGAAGTATCGAATCGAAATTAGAAACTAAAACTATTACACAATTATACATTTTTTATTCTAAATATTTGAAAATTGACACGAATTGCAAAAAAAAAGAGATAGGGCAATATTCATCTACCCAGTCAGCAAAATGTCAGCAGATTCGATCAGAGACCCACACCAAAACCATAGCTACCCTGACAACATTTCCATTGCAATTCTGCTGTAAAACTGTATGAGAAATCATGCATTAACTTTCGGGCAGATCATGCATTTTCTATTTCCAACTTTGACTGTCTTTCTGTTGGCAGAAACTTGCACTCATCGTAGTGCAACAGAATTGTTGAAGATATGTGTACGCATTTACGTACAGCAGAAAAGTGTAAGAAATGCGGAAAATGCTTGCGCAAATCGCAGTGCAATATAATCGCGCTAGATTTGTAGCAGCGCCTACTGCTAGTAATACATATAGCAGAATTCAACAAGAATTGCGGCAGATGCTTGCACGTTCTTTTCGTGTTTCTGCCAGTCGGATCTGTACTCAAAACTCTGCTGCAAATGCGCATGAAGAGTTTAACGCGATTTGCTGTTATTTTTCTGTCAGGCAGATACTTCAATATTGTTCTCACATTTCTGCTGCATGTCTACTTTTAGCAAATAGTATGAAACTTTACAGTAGCTTCTTACAGCAGACTGCAATAGTAAGTACTCGTCAATACCAGATATTATGCACTTCTGTCGCAATTTTGGGCTGTTTCTTGCGCACTTCTGCGGGTCGTATCTGAACTGTCAGATTGTGTTACCAGGGTATCTATCTCCGCATTTGGCTCTTATTTTGGCAACGTAGTTTGTAAAACATACGCTGTCAACAGATTGACGGCAGAAATCGAGCAGGTTCTGCGCGGCGCAGTTCGACAGCAGATTGACGGCAGAAACCGAGCTCGTTCTGCATAGCGCAGTTTGATGTCATCTTGGTAATAGAAATCGAGCAGAATTTGCGCAGCGCAGTTGGACTGCAGATTGGCTGTAGAAACTGAGCAGAATCGTCGTTTCTATTTCTTTCGTTTTCGTTCCTTTTATTACAAAAAATGCGTAAAACTAATAAGTAGTAAGATTTCTATCTACACACTCGTAAGTGTTCACTTCAGTATCAGATAGATGCCCAGACAGCCAAGCCTGTAGAGAACAGATTTCAGGAAAGTCCCAACTTTTTCGACAGAAAGACTATAGATTTTAAAGAGGCTCTGATATATCACACAGGGTTGGGAAAGTTACTTTCCCAAACAATGTACTTTCGCTAACAATGTAACTAGTTACAGTTACAAGTTACCAATTCTGAAAAGTAACGCGTTACAGTTACTCGAAAAGTAACGAATCGTTACTTTGCAGTTACTCCCTTGCAATAGAAATAAAAATATCGAATCTGCATCTGAATTGTAAAGCGGCGATAAAGGCGTTTATGCGCAAATGCAAGGCCTAATGCGATCTGTAGAGGTTGAAAAAATATATAAAGTAACTATTAACGTAACTATTAAATTAGTTACTAGTTATCGAAAAAATGTAACAGAGTTAAGTTACAGTTACAGTTACAGTTACAGATGTAGAGAAAGTAACGAAGTTAAGTTAGAGTTACCAAAAAGAAGTAACTGTAACTTCGTTACAAGTAACGAGTTACTTCTCAACCCTGATATCACATAATATCGGCAGAACATCAACAGAAATGTTACAAAGCTTGATAACATGTTTAGACAGCAGATTGGCAGCAGAAATCGAGCAGATCCTGCTCACGCAACAGATTGCAGCAAAAACCGAACAGAATCTGCTGACATAACTTGTCGGCAGATTGGTAGTAGACTGTTGTTTGCTGTCGATTTATATTGTAATGCTCCCGCTAGATGATGCATTCAGCTTGTGCCCTGCCGCCAGAGTTTACTGACATGCTCGGACAGCAGATTGTTGGCAAAAACTGAGCAGGATTTTGCAGTTTAATTTATATTTTATCACCATATTGCGTGAGCAGGATGTGCTCGATTTCTGCCGCCAATCTGCTGTCTAAGCATGTTATCAAGCTTTGTTATATTTCTGTTGATGTTCTACCGACACTATGTGATATCACGAGACACGGTAGTGTCTCGCGCCAAGTATAAGCGTAGCTTGACCGCACGCGCAAGATCGACCGTGTAAGTTTACGCGAGTACGCGAGTTGACAGGTCCTCAGATTTTCGGATCTCAACAACGTCTGATCCGACGAACTTCTAAGTGCGATCAATCGATATATCAGTTACTGTATGCAATCTGCAGTCTTCAAGATTTGTAGTGGGCATTTGACGTAATACGTTGCTAAAACCGATTTGGCTATCTGGATAACCAATGAAATGAAACGTACAGACGTTTGAGATCATGCTTAAGATAATTTTTAATATAACATGAAACTATGAATATCGCCCATAGTTTTAATTAATTAAGCCGTGTTATTGAAGTAAAAAAAGATATAATCGGGAAATAGGTTTGAAAATGTTTACGTTTAACAAAGAAACATATGTTACCACTGCGTGACAAAATTTTGCATTTGACCTTTTCTATGTAAGGTGTGGCTATTAAATAACTGGTTGTAAAAGTGTAGTTTATTATTACAATCTTATAACTTGACTGTTATCCCCTCCAATATACTCCCTTCCCCTATCTATTGGCGACGCCAAGATAGAGCTCCTATAATAAGAGTAAGCCAATATAAGCCAATGGTGACGATTTTTTATTGGTTGTCTCAATCTGCCACATATAATAGCCAAGGATCCGCGAATTTTAAATATGACATTTGCAAAGAATAATAATTAACGATAAGACAAAAGTATACAGCCTATCGATATTATATTTTTTATATATTTAACAATGTTATATGTGTACTTTAATAAGTAATTTAATTAGTAAATCATGATATTGTTATACGATTTAAAATGTGTCATTTTCCATTAAAAGGAATATAGAAAGATGTAATATTTTGGTACTTAATATGCAGCGAGACAATTGGCCACCAATATGGTTTATTTAGTTATATCTTCTTGGATCAATAGCGAGAGATGGAGTCAAGCATCGAGTGACGAGCGGCGCTGTCGGATCCTAAGAGATATAAACAAAGGAACTATTTTGCATGCCTTCCAAGTCCGGCGTTTCACTCCTTATACGCTCATTCACCTATCAGACGTTCTCATTAATTACACGATAATTATTGCAAATTTTATAAAATGGTACATGATTTTTCTTTTCAGTTTGATCTAATCTACCACAATTTTTGCTTCGGTTAGAAATTTGGCTGTAGAGAGATTTGAGGATTTTGAGGTAGCGCCATCAAAAGTTAATGCTCTTACACCAGTGTCATGCAGTAAAGAGATACATTGATTTATTAAGCTAGTTTTCTGATCTGCCGCTATTCCATTAATGAAAGAATATACGAAGAGAAAAACCAAGGTATCTCTAGCAATGTTAATATTACCATTTATGATATCACTCCAAAGATCAACGTAACTATATTTTTCACCGTCATATTCGACGTATTGTCTGACATTTTGTAAAAAATTAAGGTACCGATTGATGGATAATCTATAACTTTTACTCATTCGGAACTACTTTTTAATGCTTCTACCATAAAATAAAGACTTCCACTAATTGATTTATGCCATTTACTTATTGATTTTGGATGTCAAAGACAAATTGAATTGTTTACGACACATAGTTATAGCCGACACAGCAAAATATATTCGTAGTACAACTAGTAGGTCCACTCCGTCATTTGTTTTCGTTTTGCATCGATCCCTTCTGCGCATCCGACATTATATATGATACAAAATAGAGTTTTTTATTAAAAAATTTCAAGATAATCCCTACACGTGACCTCATATTGGTATTGCTATGCATTGCGCCACTTAAAATTCTATAACTTTTGTATTTAACTTTTTTTTTTCGAGTTATTCAGGGGTCCCCATTTCTGCCATTCTGTACATGCATGTATAAATAGATAACTATGTACTGTACGAATCACGGGTGAATAAAGCACACGAATTTACCTTACGGAAAAAAAAGAACACTGAAGTTTTGAGCGTTAACACCCGATTGTCCGAATTTACTCTCAAATTTGGGTGCAAGCATTTAAATCTGGGTGTTCACGCCCAAATTTGAGAGTAAAGTCGGACAATCGAGTGTTAACGCTCAAAACTTCTGCAGTGTTCTTTTTTTCCCGTAAGGGAAATTCGTGTGCTATGCATTGCGCCACTTAAAATTCTATAACTTTTGTATTTAACATTTTTTTCGAGTTATTCAGGGGTCCCCATTTCTGCCATTCTGTACATGTAAGTATAAATAGATATATATTTTATGTACTGTACGAATCACGGGTGAATAAAGCACACGAATTTACCTTACGGAAAAAAAAGAACACTGAAGTTTTGAGCGTTAACACCCGATTGTCCGAATTTACTCTCAAATTTGGGTGTAAGCATTTAAATCTGGGTGTTCACGCCCCAATTTGAGAGTAAATTCGGACAATCGAGTGTTAACGCTCAAAACTTCTGCAGTGTTCTTTTTTTTCCGCAAGGGTTGTTTCATTTAAAAAAGAAATAGAAAACGTCTCGAGTCGGTTCCGTTTTGTTCGTACATCGTTCCAATCGTTCCACCGCGACGTTCCTATGGTTACCGTTCGAATTATGTCGTTGGCGGCTTTCGTGAGGGTTCGCGGCCAACTTCCGGTTGTCAGTGTGTGGACTGCGCCTCGCTAGACGCGGATTCTCTCAGCCGCTCTCAGCGCCGAGGATTGTCGAGGTGGGGACGGGAGGTTCCCGAGAACACGAGAGAACTCGCGCAGGATTGTGCTCCCGACGGTGAGTACGCGGGGTATCCTTGTCATCGCGGTTTGCATTTCTTTCTCACGTTTGACGAAACGTCGAACGGCGATCGGCGATGCAGCGCACGTTGTATGCTCAAGTGGGGTCGTTATCGATTTCCTGACTTCACGCGACGCGGTCGCGCAGTCGCCCAATTGCGGGCGAATTCGTAGGACGAAAAAATCAGC